CATATCATATCATATCATATCAAATCATATCATATCATATCATATCATATATATTACTACATTTGCAAGAAGTTAATTTTGGGTTTTATGGATCAGAAAAAAGTAATTCCACTGAAAACTCAGTACATATTTCATGTCAAACAATTGTTTATTACTAATTATGATACAAATCAATGACAGACTTGAAGCGATTGATTTTTTTCTTTCATTCCTTTTTTTAAAGAAATACACAAAGTGCTGCTTAACCAACKAAACAGATATTGCTCTATAGACAGTTTTTAGTCTGATAAAAAGAAGAAAATAAAAATAAATAATAATAATAAAAATAAACACCTCTGCAGGTTCCTCAGCTTTGGTTTCTAGTTCTTTGACTAAAAATTTCATATCAAATGTCCTGTGTCGTTAAAATTTCACTTTTTTATTTTTTTCCTGTGGCAGACAAACCATTTGAGTTAAAGAGCAACATGACTGTGATTTTTACTTTTTGTCTTTAATGCATGTCAACATGCTGTGAGAGCTCAAGAGTGGAACTTTACAGTACACAGAAATAACTGGACAGTAATAAAAACAAAAACACAACCACATGGTTAACTCTAAATGTCTCTGAGTGTGAGTGAGGGTCTCGTTTGTCCCATGAGGGACTTGGGGATCTGTCCAGGGTGAACCCCGCCTCTCGCGCAGTGACTGCTGGAGATTAGGCACCAGCTCCACGCGWCTCAGAAAGGAGAAAAATAAACTAAAATAAAAATGAAAGGATGGATGTCAACGTGGTGTTTGAACCAAAACCTAAACCTCTTTCCCCCCCGGAGTGGTGTTCCTCTGACCTGCAGCCGCTTGTAGAACTCCTGAATGAACAGTGCTGAGGTAAACCTTGAACAAATGTTTATTTCTACTCTTCAGTTCCTTCCTGCTCACGTTTTTTTTTAGATTGTCAACAACTTGAATCTCTTGTCTCTGTACAATGTGCATAACTATAGAGCTTTGGTCCAGCGTTAAAAAGTTGAGCGAAGGCAAAACTCATTTCTGTCTTCTTTAAATACTTCTTTTTTTTGTTTTGTTTTGGTTACAGCTTCATTGTTGAGCCTCAGAACTGATCCACTTGCTGGTTTCTTAGATCTTTGCAGATTGGCCAAAAACCCTGCCTGAAAGCGTTTATCACCCACAACGACAAAATCAAATCAAATCAAAATAAAAATCTGTAGGCGACAGTGGGAACAATGTAGCTAAAATTCACTYTGTGTGGCTGCCTTTTAAAAACTCTGACACTCCAAGTGTTTTTTCAAAGTGTTTTTCTAACATTTACAGTGCGGCTGAAGGATTTCTCGGTGGGGAAGAAAGAAGATGTGTTGGAGGTGTGTGTGTGTGTGTGTGTGAGGGGGGTGAACAGCTGAGATAACCAATGTGACATGGAAAGATATGCATCAAGTCGACACTTGATTCTGAATAAATCGCATCAAATTTCACCTCACTTCAAATTAAGTTCACTCATTGTGACATGTGACACTTATTCTCAACATTCACTTTCTTTTTTCCCCCTCCTGTGAGGGGGGCTTTTGTGAGAGCAAAACATTTAGAGTGACGGACTGAGACCTTTCTGAAAAAGGTGACATTTCACACAAATAAAAATCAAACTTTAAATGAGTAAAGAGTGAATCAGTGGAAATGTCAGAGGATTTTCCAGAAAGCCTGATTCAATTGGACGTATTAAAAACCATTTCAATTAAAAACTTGAGGGGAAAACAGCAGTTCATGGTAACGACTCTAAGCACACATGTGAACATGACTCACTGTGCAGAACATAAAGGGGAAAAAAAACTTTTTTTTCCAAAAAAAAAATTTCAGGTTTCAAGTTTTAAAAACAGCTAAATTAGAATGAGTGGTTTGGTCAGAGGCAAGAAAATCTACACAATTTGTCAATTTAAAGGCTTAAAGTGTAAAAAACCAAGTGTTCATTTTTTAGTTTTATTGTACAAATGTTTGGACGTCAGGTGAAAAATCTAAATAAATGTTTCTTTGTGGGATTTGAGCTGCAGCAGGCAGAGACGAACCTAAAGAAAAACCAACATTTTACACGTGCTTGTGGTTAAAAATAAAATTACAGAGCACACCGACGAAGCTGTTTGACATGTTTTTCATTTCTTTTTTTCCAACACATTGTAAAACATTTCCAAAAACAGGGCAGAAAGTTGTGTGATTAAAGCAATAAAAACAATAATATTAAAAATAAAAAAAGCAGAAATCTCCCCCCAAGTCCTTGAGCTGAAGTTTGTGTGTTCTTTGGCTATCAGGCTTTGGCAACAGAATGACACAGTAGCTCGAAGCAAAGCTGCAGTCGACTTCGACGCTGAAACCTTTTTTAGTTCTCACCGTACGAAAGTCCTCGTTCCCCCTTCCTTTTTTTTTTTTTTTTGCTTTTCTTTTGGATCTGTAACAATCTCATGAAGTTATCAATAAATACCTGTAAAAGTTGTACAAAGTTACATCGTGACTGAAAATATTTATAGATGAAACACAACAATAAAATGCAATTGACAGCAAATTCAATTTTTATCCCCCTCAAAAAAAAAAACATCTATCAGTGTGATTCAACAGATTTTTTTCCTTTTTTAAAAATATTTACATTCAAAGAAAAAAAAAGCAAAAGAGAGAAAACGTATACTCAACCTCACACATATAGCTTAGATTTTGCCAGTACAAATGTAAAAATTTAGAGCACATTTACATTACAAAATTATTTTTTCGTTAGATGCAACAGACTTTGGTAAATAGTGTTTCGATTTGGTATGTTCTCTTTACTAAATCCCTCCTCGTGGGAACCAGAATTACGGGACAGTCCAGAATCTAAAACTCTTTAAAACAGCACAGCGGATGTTTTTAGATAATTCTCACATATTAATCTCTTTTTCACGTTTTTGGTTTCGCCAAGGTCATTTACAGAATCACACTGACAACACATAGTTTCTGGTTGCACGCCGTCCATCCAGGTGACTCGGAAACATTTTTTTTTTCAGTTTCGAGAGAAGTTCGTTGGGTTTAATGGCTGCCACTTTTCCACTCCACAGTTTTTTTCGTTTTTTTTTTTAATGTTTCGCTCTTTTTTTTCTCTTTCTTTTTGAGAGCTCGCTCATTTCGGGAGCTCCTCTAGAGAATCAGTGAGAGGGTCCATTGGTGCAGCCATGCCGAGGTCGGGCTGTTTCAAGCGCTTTATTGTGTTTTTCAACGCTTGCCTCTTGTTGCAGAACCACACGCGCACCACCTCCCTGTCATAGTTCAGCTTCTCGGCGATTTCGGTCATTTCCTGTCCGGAGGGGTGCGTGTTCTTCTCAAAGTGGCTGTTGAGGATCTCCAGCGCCTGCGGGGTGAAAGAGGTCCTCCGCTTGCGCTTTTTCGAAGGCTCGCTGCCGATAAACTCAGTCAGGTTCTGCATGCCGGATCGGTGGCGGGCTTCAGCCTCGGCCATCCAGCGCTCCAGAACCGGCTTAATCTTCTGGGCACTTTTAGGGGTGATGTCCAACTTCTCAAACCTGGCAGGATATAAAAGGCCAGGGTTCAGTTTGCCTGTCAGACTGCTACCTATAGTGTTCTCTTGGGCTTCCTGTGGTAGGAAAAAGTGGCTTCTCAGGATGGTGTGTCTGGGGAGAATTGAGAAAAAAGAATCTTACTCAGGTGCCCTGCCAGAACAAGGGATAAGCTGCCTGCCTTTTAGTCTCCTCTACCAGAATGCCACTGGGACTGAGACTAAGGTGCTCGTCTTGAGTCCGGCACCTGGAAACACCTCAGCTGCAGCAGCTGGATGTGACGCTTAAACCTCTGAGTTAAACTGTCTGGCCGAGGCTTTGCTTCTCTGTCCCAAATTGGCAGTGGTGGAACAAGGAGATTTAGCCAGAGGCTAGAAATCAGGTGCAGCTGAAGTGAAATAAAATAAAACTAAAAACAAAGCATGCCAAAAAAAGAAAAAAAAAATTACGCAAACTAAAAGTTTTAAAGGTTCACTCTAAAAATGAAATCTTGGATTTACTTGAACCATGTTATGTTACCTGGTTCCACTTAACTGAGTTGAGTAAATTCAAAGCAACATAATCATGTTCTTTGGTTAAAAAACTGGTAAGTTGTTTTGAATTTACTCAACTCAATTAAGTGGAACCAGGTAACATAACATGGTTAAGTAAATCCAACATTTCATTTTTTACAGTGTTGTTCTTTAGATGCTTTAATAAACCAAAAATAAACAAACAAACAAACAAACAAGCAAACAAACAAATAAATAAATAAAAAAAAACAGTTCAGGACTAAACCCAAATATTTTATTTTTGAACCCCCCCCCAGAAGAAAAGAAAAAATATCTGCCACTACACGCACACACACACACACACACACACACACACACACACACACACACACACACACACACACACACACACACATAAATAAACTACATTTTTAATAAAACACATTTCTTATACATAATATCAGATTTGACATCAGCTTGAGTTTCATTAAGGCAGCTCAGAAACTGTCAGGTGCTTTTTGTTTGATATGAAAACTTTTCAAAAAGCTTGAAATGTTTTTATGATTCTAAAACAAGGATTTTATGAAGAACCATGACTCATTCTGGAAATAATTAAAAAATGATTTATTGTTCTATAGTGTTCTGAAGCTTAAAAGGCAACAAAATATTAGCTCAAAAATACATCTTTTTAAAACCTTTTTTTAAATCTAGAAATAAACAAAAAAAAATCATCTTTTTATAATGATAACATTTTAACATGACAGATGTTTGAAGAACATTTAAGACTTTTAATATTTTTTTATTCTGTGAGTGATACTAGCAGATGTGAGTTTTTTTATGTTCAATGTTTTGGACAGAACCAAGCAGATACATCTGGAGTGATATGATTTGACCCTCTGACAGTAAACATGTTGGATGTTTGATGAGATGAAGAGTGATGCTGCAGTTTCACTCTGAACACGTCAAAGTTTGAACACAACAAAACTAATTTACACGTCTAAAAAAACTGATTTGTTTTACAGAATACACTGTTGTTCTAACGACAAGTTTAACCTTCGGCTGAATAATGTTCGATAACAAAAGAGCATTCTCGTTCTTACAGAAATCAAATAAACTATGTTAAAAGAAATTTTAAAAAATGACAAGAAAAATATTTTAAGTATTTATGACAAAGATGCAAAAAAAAACTAAAATAAAGCTCTAGTTTTTGTAGAACAAACAAGCAAAGAAAAAAAAAGTTTTATTTTAATGGTTTGTTGAGCTGAGGGTGAGGTGCTCACACATGCATGAACTTCCTCTGTTTCTACACCTCGTCGGTGCGTTCCTTCTTGTCGACAGGCAGGATTATTTATAACCCCGGCCTCCTAAACAGTGGAGAGAGAGGAGCGCTCCATACTGAGGGAATACATTAGTAAATATAAAGCGTCACTAGAGACAGGACATTTCATGGATCAACAGGAACTGCAGAAACTAAAATGAGTTGGGAGCGGCTCAGCTGGGGCACACACTCCCTCCTCCYGTGCATCAGGACGAGGATGGAAGCCTCTCTGGGTGTTTCTAAAAGTACCCGAGGAGGTCTGACTTAAATATGCTGCTGTGCATTTAGACTGAGTTAGAAACTGCCTGAAGGTTTATGTTACGGTGGCTGCACGCTAAGTGAAATCAATAAAATAATTTGGCTTGTCTTATTAACAACAATGGGCCTCATGCAAGAACATGTTCGTATTCTTATCCTAAATTTCTCTTACTTTTGTTCGTACAAAGGGTTTGTACGAACATGTCACGTCAGATTCAACAAACTCTTCTATCTTCAGGAAAAGTGTGTAAATGAGCTGCGTAAACTGATGAATGTGTAACCAGGTGCTCGTGCACGGGGAGAGGTGATTTACATAATTACCACCCCAAAAACACCATATAAGGCTACATTTCCTGTCCCACATACCAGGAAGTGTTCGTTCATAAATGACATCACAAAGTAAAAAAGAAGAACTTTACGAGTTCGGAGACTGAAGTTCTGCTCTCAGAGATCATTTTTAGCAGCGTCAGCTGTGGAAGTAAAGGTTCGCTGCTGTTAATGTCTCCTGTGGGTCGTTACAGTCACAGAAATGAAAATCTAAATCATATTCATCTCTCTCTAGTCCTGCTCCGGTTTTTCTATGGTCAAATATTTTTAATTTAAGTGTAAACAACTGTGTTACATAGTCAGAGTTGTAAAGTAACTAAGTACAAATACTTATTTACTGTACTTAAGTAGAACGTTTGGGTATCTGTACTTTGATTGAGTAATTATTTTTCAGCCTACTTTTTACTTTTACTTCTTGCTTTTTCACACATTTATCTGTATTTTCTAGTCCTTATTTTTAAAAAAAGCAAGAAATAGAAAGTCGTTACTTTCATTTCTTTTTTTTTTCCTTGTTTTTATTCCAGCTTGTTATTGTAAAAAATAAAAACTATCCAGATAAACTG